AATAATTAAAAAAAATAGAAAATTTCTAATTGTTACAATATTTGTGAAACATCTCAAATAGATATGAAAAGAGCTGTTCATTCAGTTTGAATATTTCCCAAAAATTTAGGAACAGAACGTAAAATGCTTGTACAGCGCAGGATGTACATGTATAATAGCAGACCGGTAGCCTGGGTGTAAGAAACAGGGGCGAGCTGTAGCGCCTATAAACCCCCCACTGTTACATGGGTACCAGACTGCTGCCAGGCTAGCTCCTTGGCTCCTGGAGGGCCAACATTTGCCCAAGGAAATGTCACCAGATAATAGACATCCCTCAATTGCAATAAGCCTATGAATTACATTGTGAAGGCTTGTTATCCCCTAGACACAAAGAACACAGTTTCTTTAAAAATGGGTGACAAAAGGGGAGGGGAGGTGATTATGATAAAATTAACAAGTTCTAACTTCCAAGCAACAACTTGAAGTTAGTCTCCAGTCAGATTCTGATCAATGTTAGACGTGTTTACAACTGGAGAAAGGGGAAGCAAAAACATTCATTGAGTTGACATACAAAAAATCAGATGATCATTGATCAATTACTAAGGTGACCTTGAGAGAATATTGATGTAATGTTGCAATTTTATAGAACAGGATTCTTCTTCAAGTGAATGAGTCTGAGGAACAAGTAATGGCATTATATTTCAAAATGGCCGGCCAACTCCTCTGGCCAATGATGTTCCCCTTAGCCGATTGCTACTATTTATTCAGCCTGCAAAGGAGTCTGGTGGAGACTACATTATATTGGTGTGGCCTAACAGTTGTATATATTTATTTTACAGTCATTCCTGCAAAAATTCCTGCGAGATTTCTAGGAAGGATTCTATCTGCAGGAATCTACAATGTCTTAGTAGGTTTTTCCAGAAATTTCCTGCAGGAAGAAAATTTTCAAAATGAATTTCCATGCATGTTATCATTCATACCTGTCCAATTATCAAATTAGAGAGTCTGGTCGGGCTACCCTGACACGGGTGACATGGTCTTTGCAGCTTGCACTGGGTAGCTCAATAGCCCGAAAAAATATCCTATCAGAAAATCTCATGACATTGAATGACAGTGTCAGATGGCAGTGGGTTCACACGGTGAGAACCATGTCTTGGCCAAATCTTTCTATCCCACAACTAGTTTTTAGTATTTATGATTAGATTAGATTAGATTTAGATTATTGACAAGAAATTAATGATATGAGAATCCTAGTTTTATTTTTTAAGATAGTCGGACATCTTTTCAGGCTCCTACTGGGTGACCCAGTACAAGCTGCCCAGATAGGGGTTACTCTCCAAGTAGAGGTTTGGGTTTTGGGG